CGAACTGTCTATATGGCGAACTTTTCTTTAATTCGAATTGTTACTGTTTACTTATCATTTTTAAATTTCATTTAAGTCCCTCTAACTCCAAATTTCTTCATCATTCTTTCTTCATTTTTGCCAATAATTGAAGACGGTTCAAAATATAGAAGTTCCATTGTACTACCCTTAATGTAACTAAGCACAAGCAAACAAGGCTCTAATATTAACATCTTCAATATCGTAGTAAATGTTCAATTTCAAGAATCTCCCACCTAAAAAAGAGATTTCTAATCAAGTATTTCCCATTGTTATATAAAGAGTGTTAAAAAAAGGACTTATTTACATTTTAAAATAATCAATGGCGTGATTTTCATAACTTTAAAACAACATTGTAATGTAAAGAAAATTTTCACTTGTTACCAATTTAGAATATTATAAAATAAAATTCAAAAACCATATTATTATTTCCTCGTCTTCATAAAAAATATTAAAATTTTTCGAAATTTTCGAAAATAAAAATTTCAATAAAAATAATAACCAAATTGTAACCAAAAAGGAAACAAAACAAAAAAAAAACATTACCATAAAAATTGTAATAATAATAAAAATAATAGTACGAAATAAATAACATAAGGTCCTTAATGCAAAAATGCATTTGAATGCAAAAAAATATTTTATTCGAAGAATTCTAAATTTTCTACTCAATTTGATAATATACGTAAGTACTTGTGTGTATATGTAAATATGTACCAGGAATATCTGGGTACAATAAATATAAATTTTTTTTTTTTTTGGCGAATTTAAATGGAAATTTTTCTATTATGATTGCAACTATGTACTTTCATACTAAATATTTTTATTTTTGCATTTAATGAGGTTAATTTTATGACTCGTTAGACCATTTAGAACACAACATGGTAAATTAAACATACAAAAGCAATAGCATTGATTTCCTCCATTTTTTTTTTTTGTATTTAGAATAACTATTTTAAGTTTTTAAAACTTTTATTTGGAATAATTTTTGAAATTAACAATTTGAATTCAGTTGGAATAAGTTGGCTCATACCTATAATTCGTAAAGTTATAGAATTGCAAAATAAAATTTTATTATAAACCGTTTATAATATAATATACATGAATTAATGATGATTATTTGTATACCTATATATGCGTTGAATTGAAATTTTTTTGAATATTTTTGAAAATCAAGTCCTTAATAACTATAACAATCACTATTTTTAGATGTTAAACCAAAGTTTTATCGATAATATTTTAATTATATTTTTTTTGTATAGAAATTTTGGAATCAGAAATTTTAAGTATTAATCAATAGCAATTGCATTTAGATGGTTTGCTATTTTCCTATGTAGACACATATACCTAGAGTGTATATTGAAATAATATTCGGGCATGTTAATAGTCATTAGTATCAGTTTTACGAATATGGTCTAATTTTATTTTTATTTGACGGTCTATTAACATTGGGTTATATTGTGAATATTTTGTTAATATAATGACTGTAATACTAGCAGAATTTATTCAAAAATTTTGTGTTCATTTTTAATTGAATATATTAGAATTTATGAAATAAAATAATAATATTTATGTATGAACTATTTAACAGGAACTTAAATTGAATAAATTATTTAATTATGGAAATTATGTAGAATGTATTTGAATTCAATTTTAATCTATATATTTCTTTTTTGTTAATTACTTACAAGAAAGTTTGATTTCGTTTATAGTAAAGCTATTTAAGAATTTTTTTGTTCCCTAAATTATTTTATTTAATTTTTTAAATTCGCTTATGTAATAAGGTTTTATTTATATTTTACTTGAGACCACTATGGTATAAGTTGAGTATGGGAGAATTACAATAAGCCATGGCAGGCTGCAACGATCAAATTGAAAATATTTCTTTGTCAATATTTTTTTCTTCAATAATCTATAATCTATACAAATCGTCGGCTTAATGATCCGAAAAATTTTGATCTGTACGCCAGTTTCACGATTTTTAACTTAAGATCCACTTTTAAAGGTTTTCGAGGATAATATTTCCATATAATATGTAATCAGTTTTTCAATATTCCATTTAGTTTTATATAGATAAGCAGATGTCGTTTTGATCCATCTCTACTTATAATTCGATTTGCAATGCAATTTGAACCATATCCGAAATTGTTCAAATTAAAATGGATCAAAATTTTCATATAAATTTTTTTAAAAAAAATTGTTGAGTGCTACAATATTACACGTACATATATTCATAGAATGTAGATCACAAACAGATAAAAATTACTGTGATTTGTTTCCTAGAATTTTCCCAATTCCTAACGTCTTGCCTGTTATAAATTATTAGTTCTGAAATTTGGTGATAAAACAACAACTAATTTATCCTTTTCGGGAAACGTCTTCAAACTATTACAAAAAAAAAAAATAAATTAACAATATTAAATATAAAAAAAAACAGGTAGCTACTTATCTGACTTTATTTAAAAAATTATTCCAAATTCTTGTGCATATGCAGAAATCAGGTATAGTTTTACATAATCGCCTTTATCTCAGGTATAGGTATGAATTCGAACTCTAAGTTTTTAATAAATCACTTTCCGTATTTGAAAATTTTTCAATTATAATTTAATTAAATTCAAATCATAGCTAATCATACATGTTGAAATTCAAATCAAACATGTTGAAATTCAAATCAAACATGTAGAAATTCAAATCAAACATTTAAATAGCTTTATAGAGAATATTTCTAAGCTATACTGAACCATATTTGAACAGTTTCACTTTAATCATTCAATTTCAATTATTAATTTTAAATAAATTAATTTGAATGATTCACAATACTTTTATTATTTTTTATGTTATGTAATAAAACATTAATATTAAATTAAAAAAAAAAAAATGTATTTTTACAACCTTTAAAGTCCTTCATTTTTATAGAGCTAGAAACTTGTAAACAGAACTAATTCCATAATAATTTTGTTATTTATGAATGCGAGAAATGTAAACAAAATTATTGTTGAATTACAAGCATTTTAACTTTATTTCCTTGTAATTTTGAAATTGTTTTTTTGAAAAATTAAATTAAAATAAATTTATTAAGAATTAAATAAATATTATAGGAATATATTTAAATATAATTATACAATTTACAAATTATATACTTAAAGAAGAAAAAAAAAAATAATTATTAATTTTTATTGGACACTAATTTATATTTGGGAAAACAAAATTTTTATTTTCTTTTCGAAAAAAATTATTAAGCATTAAAAAAAAAATTTTAATTTAATTATTATAATTAATTTTGTTTTCTTTTATATATTATAATTATATTACGGTCTAATAGATAACTAAATAGAATATTGTAAATTATAGGTGTTTAACAATAATTATTAAAAAAATTATTGTATTATTTTACAATTATTATTAAAATAATAAGAAAATCAAAAAGATTTATAATCGATTTTACCGAATATTATTAAAAAATTTTCAATATAGCACTTTAAATATGTGCCATTTCGAATTTTATTCGACACAATTACTTCAATTATTACAAAATGGCTATACTATAATTTCAAACAGACCAATTCAAATTATTAGGTATTTACAACTGCTCCAGAGTATATACCATGATTTACTCCCAAATGGAATGCAGTCGCTTATAACTATTTTAACTATTTTTTATTTATTAAAAATTTGGAAATTTTACATACTTTTCGGGGCATGATGTGCGTATCATTCAAATGTCATCCCCTTAATTGTGACTTTATAGTGAGTTGATTTTATTTTTATTATGTATAAAAATTATGCATAAACAAGAAAACTAATTTTTATATTGTGGAGCCTTATGATGGAGCAAGTAGGTTTTTTAATAATTTCGGAATTCTATATCATTTCTGCCACTCAAATTTTAAAGTCCGAAAATTTTTACATTAATTCAATCTGCACTTGTCTGTAAAAAAGTTTAATACATGTGGAATAGGCTACATTAAAAAACAAAATTAAATTATGTTTATATTAACGATAATAATAATATTTTCCATTAAATGGTTAAAATTGAAAGGAAAAAAAATATAGGTAATGATAATGATTCACGCGCAGGGTAATGAATTACAAATTTTGTTTAAATATTAATTTTTCTACAGAATATGCTTACATGAATTTTTACATCTGTTCCACTTTTAGAACATATCGATAACAGCAATGTGAAAGTTGTGAATGTGAAAGTTCTAGATGTGAAACTTCACCACTGTGTGAAGAAGCAGTTTGAATATTTTAACATTTTGTTGTCCAAGTTAATGCAATGGTCAAGAATCCAATCGATATATATACAATCAAAATTTCAAATTATATAGGATTTGCAATTATTTATATTAAATATTTTTCACATACATTCTTGAAATAAGAATGGTACTCTAATTTAGTTTGTTAATTTCTAATTTCATTCAATAAAATATTTTAAGATTTCCAATGAAAGACTCTTAATTTGGGCGATTTCGAATTTTCTGGCATAATAGCACAATTACTCCCGGATTGTTACATATTGAGTAATACAATTTCAAACCCAACAATATTCCAATTTAATTCCTCTCAGACTAATATTTTCCGAATTCCCAATTTAAATCATCTGGTCTTGTTAACAATTTTACATTAAAAAAAATTTTCATATAATTTTTGGAAAATGCTTTGCCGTCAACACTTTAATTTTTTCATTTAACTTGTAAACTTTTGTTCTCGATCATTAAACAAATTATATGGCATTTTACACACAAATTAATTATATAATTATTTTTGTTTTTTCTATTTTTTGCATTACAATATCTATAGAATTTTATATTAAAATTTAAAAGTATTTATAGGAAATTCTTTAGATGAAAAATTTCAATTTTATTCATTGAACTATCGGTCACATCGGTAAAAATTTGTGAAAATTTTTATTTTTATTAAAAAATAAAAGTTGTTGGATTAAGTGTTATATAAAAATTACATCCAAATTACATACAATAAAATATTAGAAATTAAATATTTAAAAAAAAATTAAAGAATATTAAAATAATGAAAAATATTTGTGTATTCATTTTTGTTTCTGGATTAGTGGTAAGAATTAAAGATTAAAGGACATTTTTGGATATTTGTGATCAATGAATTTTGTAAATATTTTGAGAAAATTGTGAATTGCTTGAATAAAAATTGTGTGAAAAATTATTTTCTAAAATCAATCAAAAACGTCTCTAAAATTCAAAATCATAAAGGTCTCTAAAATTTGTTAATCAAAGAATTTGAATTCAATGGGATTACAACTCGAATATTTTCATATATTTTTCACCAAGATTTTAATTTTAATAACATATTTTTAACAATTTAAATGAAGACTTTTAGGAAATTACTTAATTTTAATTCTTTTATTAAAGAATTTTAAATAAAATTTATTTTCTCTCTTCATACTAGCTATGTTCATCACAAATTTGGGTCCCATAATAATCCGCACATTATAGAAAATTTTACATTTAATAGCTGTGATACTTGCATGCATACTACTGTGGTATTTGTCCTGAAGTTTTTAAATCAGTTTCATGAATTGTTTCACGAATTTATTCTACGTGAGCATTGAAAAATTTACGCTCGAATTCCCTACGAGCAACGTGTTTATTAATTATCCGGAATCAAGTTTCTAATTCAATTCAATACAGATTATCTATTAAAACTTTTGAACTACTATAACAAATAATCTTGTTATATAGAATTTATATTACAAAATCAAATACTTTTGTTGCTTCATTGTAGCAAGTTATTCATATTTTATACAATTATTTCTTTCATTACAGTGTATTGGTCAAGGGGCCAAATGGGATGGAAATTGTTTGAATCCACCGTTTTATGTAAGTAGCAATTTCTAGGGATTTAGAAATGAATATTATTTTAATTGCTCAGATAATTAAAAAAAAATTTTTTCATTTTATTTTTCTTCGGATTAGGATGGAGATTGTTGTAAAGAAGGTATATTTGAGGATGATGTTCCAACAATTAAAACTTGTGCTCAAAAATTTTCTTTAACACTTAATGCTAATAATGATGTTATACCAACTGTAGCTAATTTAGAAAGTTATGTGGTATGTTATTAAATTATTAAAATTACTAGAGTAATAATCAAAATGATTCAGCTATATTGTCAGCAATAGTGCAATTTTAAAATGTGATTTCTTCTCTTTAATTTCATTTCAATTTTAGTGTTTTACTGATTGTCTTTATGTTGCTGACAAATATATCAATAATGGTGCATTAGATTTAAATTTTATAAAAACTGATGTTGCTGCTCGTGCAAAAAATTTCACTGAATTGGGAACTATTTATTATAATGCAATGGAAAAATGTTCAAAATCAAGTAAAATTTACAAAAATTTTCTAATATTGTAATTTGAGTTGAAAACTTTGTTCAAAATATTTACGAGAATTTTGCTTATTTGAAGAAAATAATCCAAAATATTTGAGTTACTAATAAAATTTCGTTTTTTTTTAGCTGATAAAATAGCTGAAACAATTAAACCATATCCAAATTCTGATAAATATTTGAAAGGAAAATGTTCACCAACTGCACAATTAATTGATGATTGTACTGATATTGAATATTTTGCAAATTGTCCAGCAAAATATTGGACACCAAATGTACCAGAATGTGATGATGTTAAAGCATATGCTGCCAAATGTAAATTACTTAAATAAAATATTATAAAAAAAATGTCATGATGCATGATGTGAATTATTGCGTGTATGCTTTATTTAAAATTTAATAAATTATAAAAAAAAAAATAAATAAAAGGAATTTTTGAAAATAATTCAATAATAATTGTGTTAAAATTAAAAAATATTTTGATTTTTAAAACTTAACATTAAAGAATTACAAAAAAAAAAATATGGGGCTAAAAACGTTTTAATTTACTATTGAATTTAGTATGGAGTAAACCAGCAAGTTTTCTTGGAATACCAAATAGTTACAATGTACCCATACCCCTTAATACATTCATTCCCGCCATTTTCTGTTTACATTACATTTCTTTCAACAGTCAAATACATTCTAAACACTCCAACAATTAAAGTAAAGTGGGATTCTATTAAATAAATTGGCAAAAAGAACCCTTAATATTCAATTAGAAACACAAAAATCTTCAACCAATTTACTCAATTTACTATTATAGCGAAAATTGAAATTTTTCAGCCTGATGGTATGCAAAATTTATTGTACAAAATTTTCTCTGTTATTTCAATATTCAGTAATATTATATGTGACAGGCTTAGATTTATTGTTATACGATTATTGCCAATTTATTTATTTTATAAATTCCAATTGAATTTTTTATTTTATATAATTTCATATTAGGTGGTCATTTGAAATAATTTATAATTCACGGTCAAGGTAACATCATTAAAAATATTGTCATCGCACTCTTGTTGTTTCATTTTCAAACTTGGAAAAAAAAACGAATAATTTTCTGTCAAATAATTTATCGTAATGATTCATTATTATTTATTTATTTATTTTTTTTCTCATTAAATTAAAAAAAAGAGTATATTAATTATAGTGGTAAAATATATAATTAATTTGATTACAGTTATTATGTTCAAGATGAAGCCCATGTGTATATTATCGAGTGTGCAGTTTAATTTTATTTGTGCTCTATTTGAAATTGAAATAGGGAAAATTTTGAAAATTTGATTGAAAATATTTGACAAGAACTTTTGTCAAATCAAAAATTTTAATAAAATTTTTTAAAAAATGATTAATTACTCGAAATCTTCGACTTTGTCTGATTGATTCCGAACTTCTTAATTCCGAATTAATTCCGAAATTACTGCCCAATTTCCAATTTAATTGCATTATCAGCGTCGAAAAATTTCGTTTGACTTATTTTTCTGGTTAATTTCAAATTTAATTTTTTCCAACATCTCTCTGGAGGGAGGGGCAAAATATAATTGTATTTAGTACTCAAACATTTAAAATTTAAACTACTAATTATTTAGTAATTAGAATTTATAAACAAAATTCCAACTCTCTTTCAGCAAAATTATAAGCAATTTCTCTTTAAGAAAGGCTGAATATCATGAATTTCTATCGAATTATTCCTTCTCTTAATAATACCAATTAAAAATTGGATACAAATTAAAACCAGAAACAATTAATTTCATTGAAATTATTGTTTTAATCTTTATTTCATTTGATTTTGTTTCATGAACCCTACTAATCTAGTATATATTACCCTATAATTTTTATAACATTGTGTCAATGAATTTATAATAGTCATGAGGTAATTATTAAAACAATTATTATTAAGAGCGGTATTGAAAATATTATTCTGTTGTGATAAAATTAGTTCAAAAAAATACCTAAAGGTGTATAAGTCAAGTGAATAATTTAAAAAAAAATAGAACAAATTATAATGAGTATTAAGCAAAATGTTGTAATAAATTTGATTTTATTAGGATTATTTACGGTAAAACTTGTAAATTTACGATATTATATTATTTTTTGTAATAAAAAACAAAAATTTAATTTTTTTTTTAGATTATGGTTCATTCTAATTATGAAGACGGACCCTTACTTGTTGTAAGTAAATTATAATTATATTAGGACTGTACTAAGGACGAAGCATTGACCTCTAATATTGATCAAAATTTTATTCTTTTATTGGATTTTAGAATGCTGAATGTTGTAATGAATCGATGTTTGCATTTCAAGATGATGATGAAATTGCTAAAAATTGTTCAGAAAAATATGGAATCGATTTAAAATATAATGATTCGGAACAACTTAATTTTGAGAGTTATTTAGTAAGTTGATATTATTTCAAATTTCTAAAATTTTAATTTCGAAATTTCGAAATTTTTAGTGTTTCATGGATTGTATTTTTACGGAAAATCAACTATTAATTAATAATTCTATAAATATGGAAAATGTTAAAGTAGATCTATTAAATTTAACTGAAAATAATACTGACTTAGTTAATATTATGATTGAATCAATGGAAATATGCAGTCGATTAAGTAAGTTTTATAATATTTTATAAAAATAAGAAGCCTAATGCTTGTGATTAAAAAATTATTCTAATATTGTAATAATTACAACAAAAATTGTGTTATTAACTTAACGAAATTTGGGAAAAATTTAACGAATTAAAAAACTTAACGAAATAAATTTGACTCTCCTAAAAGTATGCAAAAAATATGCGGTCAACAGTTTGTTCAATTAATGGTAAATTTTCGTCCGGTTCAATAATGTGTTTCAATAAATTATTAATTTTGGGTTTTTTGGGTTGGTTGGAAAACCCAATTAGCACAAATGTGCCGTTTTCCTACCACTACAATATAATAAGTTCTCCACATGAACCAGGCAGTCATTGAGCTTAAGTACAGGTAGCATATTTAAGCTACCCGGTTCTCTTGAGGAATCTATTTTGGGTTTTCTTAAAAATTTTATTTCAATGAAGATTATATAAGATCGCTATTTAATTGAATTACAACAAATATTTGCTAGAAAGTTCATCTATATAATGTTATTCTTTTTCTCGTTAATTAGAATAATATTTGAAAGAGAAGATTTAAATTTACAACTATGACGCAATGAAACTAGAGCATAGTATCATGCACTAGTGACTAGCCCTATGCTCCTCACTAGGAGTAAAAAAGGAAAAAAAAACATATTATGCAAAAAAGCTTTCAAAGTATTAGAAATTAGAAAATTTGATGTAACTGGATATTTAGCAATTAGCAAGTTAGTTTAATTTAAATAGCTTAGAAGTAAGTCAGGAAATGTCTTCAGTCGATTTAGTATAATTTAATGGGTTTTGAATTTTTTTTTTTTGTAACAAGTTTAATAGCTAATTTCGAAATATTCTGTGTACCAATCCTTTGTAATATTTTTCAAATTAAATTTTTAATATCTATTTATTATTTTATAGGCAATAACATTATGGATACACTTAGACGAAATCCAAATGCTAGATATCTTTTTCAAGCAAAATGTTCACCAATGGCCCAAATTGTTACAGATTGTGCTGCAATGGAATATTTTATTAATTGCCCCGATAAATATTGGACACCAACAGCAGAATGTGAAACAATGAAATTTTATGCATTACAAAATCGATTTACGAGATTTTAAAACTATATTAAAGGATTAGATTTAAATTTGATTGAATAATATGACATTAATTATTATGATATAAAATAAAAATTTATGAAATTATTTAAAATTGCTTATATTAATTTATTTAATTAAAAAATCTTCGAGAATCAGAAATTATAAATAAAATGTTTGTTTGTTTTTTTTCTATTGTGGAACTTATTCCCTTATATTTAGTATAGAACTCTTTGCTTTTAGGAATTTACAATTATCATAAGTTTTAATTTTAAAAACAATAATCGAAATTTTTAATTTTATTACAAAAAAAACTTAAATTTAAAATGAATTTTAAAAAATTATTATAAATTTTTTATTGGACACAATTTCTTACATATTTTTTAGCTGCTTCACACATTGGATGTAAAACCCATCTATCACTTGGACAATTTTTAAAATATTCTGTATATGTGCAACCTAAAATAACACCGGGTATAGGATCACAACGTGATTTCATAATATTTTCAGCAATTGGCAATTTTTTAAGTGCTTCAAATTTTTTACTAGCTAAAAAAATTTTTTTTTTATTAAAATTCCATTAGTACATTTTACTTTTAAGTAGAAGTGAAATTAATTACCTGTTTCTGAGCATACTGTAAATGCTTTAATCATAACATTAGCATAATTTGTATCATTTTTGAATTCATTCTTTATAGATGTTGTCATTGCATTAACATCAAATACACCATTTTTTAAGAATTTCGATTCTTTCATTATACATTCGGCAAAGCACTATAAAAATAATAATAAGATTAGAATTCTGTTATTCAAACATTTATTTACAAACATTAATTTAAAATATAAAAAATATAATAAATACAATATAAGCACAAAATACCAGGGCCCTTACTGATTTCAAAACCTATATTTACAGCATTGTTTTAAGCGACTATTATATAGGAACAATTCTAAAGTAGTTCTATCAAGATTTGGAAAAAATTAGAGAAAGAAATAATTAATTTGGAAAAATTTTTTAAGAAGAGTTTTAGTAAAATCTTAAACAAGCTCAAAGTGTTGAAATAGCTAGTATTGTATTCCAAGCACATTTAAATTTAATAAGAGGCTTCGTCAACCTTCAATATAAGTAAATAATTCAATTCAAGGTGAAATATTTCTATTAATTTACTTGATTAAATCATTAATTTGTACTAGATTAAAGAGGTCTATTTGTTCTTTTAATTAAAATACGATTATAATATCAAATACTAATTATTTATAATGTCTTCTCATTTGTTCCTCTAATTATAATTTACTGGTATAACAATCTTAATATATAATTTAATTTAGATTTACATTCTATGGAAAAATTATACATTTTCTATGGAAATTTTATTGAAATGTGCCTGCCCTCCTGTCCCCCCCCCCCCTCCTCTTCCTTCACATTATCAAATTATTCTTAATATAAAAGGTTATCCATTTTGTATAAATTATTGCGTGTTGCTTATGTGACAATATACAAATTAAATTTGTAATTATAAAAAAATGTGAGGTGACACGACAATAATATTATTATTATTAAAGACTATTGTCTGTAATATTACACTATAGCTGGACTATTTAATTCGTAAACATTTTATTATTGTAACAATAATTAATAATTTGTTTACAATTGAAAATTTTTTCAAAAATTTTGTTTACAATATGAGTAAACAAAAGTTTAATTAAAATATTTAGGTCGAAAATAATATTCATAATTAATTTGATGTAAATATAATTTCTAAGTATATATAGAGGAGTGCAACAAGTTAAAATAGTAATTTTCATTTGAAATTAGATTAGATTTTATATTATACTTCAAGTAGATAATAAACTAATTATATTGTTGCTACCATTTTACGGAACAATGTGTATTAAGTAAACAAACATGTTTTCTGTAATTTACAATTATTACCGAAGATAACAATCCCTTCTAATTCAGAGTGAGTTTCAATATTTCAATTACATATTAGTTCAAAATTGTTCAAATTAATGAGAAAAATATTCAAGTAGCCCAAAATAATTAGATATCAACATTGTTTTTAGATCCGATGAAGAAACAACATAAATTGTTGAATTAATTTTACACACGAATTTCTGAGTTTAACTTAAAAGTGTAATGCATTAAATGGAGTTTTCAAACCTTACTGGAAAATCTTATTCCAAAATTTTTCCATTTGTCTTACGTAATATTAAAATTTATCCATTCTATATTAGAAAATACTCCAGAAACTACTCCAAAAATCATTATTTAATAAAAATATTAAAGAGAAACAAATTGAAAATAAATTCATTTACCACTGTTGAATCAATACTTGGTGGTGGTGCATTTAAATTTGGTGCTTCACCTGGTACTGGTAAACCATATAATTTTGCACATGATTTTGCAATAGCATTTGGACCTGGATCTAGACAACATGCATGTGGATCCTTACAGAAAAAAAACAATGAGAAAAATTAAAAATTGAAAAAATTTTTGTTTTAAAAAAGAAAAATTTCACTATACTTACAACCATAGGAGGAGGTGATGAGCATTCTGAACTTGCTCCTAAAGTATTTTGTATCTAAAACATATAGTTAATTAATTTTTTTTTAAATTTTAAAATTATTGAAAAAAAAATATTGTTATTACCAAATCTATTATAAACAAAAAGTTTATTAGCAAAATTATTTTTATAGTCATATCCAATTTTTTTTTTTAACTGTGTATAATTAGCTTAGAGTCGGTAATACACACTACGATTTTTAGATGAAAATATTAAATTGTTACTTGACAACTCGAGAACTAAAATTCAACAGATGACAGATTGTCCGAAGCAACCTAATTTTATAAACTTTTATTATTCTTGTCGTCAAACCCCCATTTTCTGTAATTGTTTTGAAATGGAAAAATATAATATAATTTTTTTTTTTGTTTTTTCCACACTTCCGTATGAGATTCGAACTGACGATTAACGAATTAATTGAGTTGTAAATAATTTTTTTTTTGTTATTCTTATTATTTTCTTTTTTGGTGTTTACATTAATTGTTGCAATAAATGGAAAGGTATTATGTAATTCAATAACTATTAAGAATTTTAAATATTTCAATTTTGTAGGTCTTGTCTCACAGAATAATTTTAAGAGAATAAATTAGTTGTTTTGAAAAAGTAGGTTCTTTGTCATATTTGACGGTTATAAGAGAAGTCAAATTTAGCTAAAGCAAATTTTTTTTGAGAATGAAGGGGATAAATGCCTATGAGAGCTTCCTGAATTGAAATATATCGAAAATCCCTATTTATGGATTCTAAACTTTATGGGCTCTTTATATGTATGCTTTTTTTATATAAATAAACATAACATCATAAATGCGAGATCGGGGTTATAAAGGGACCGTTTTAGACTGCGGTAAATCAAAGAGCTTGTGCCGATTATGACTAGAAGTGATATAGTAAAATAATAGTAAGGGATAGAAACCAGGTGAAAATGCTTATGGCAGTCTTAACGGGATACTGCCAATTTAGGAGTCATACAAAGAGATCGGACTTGAAAGGAGACTTCAATGCACATTCTCAGTGAAAGTGCAGCGTTGATCCAGAGAAGAAGGGAGTCTCGGGGTTGTTACGTAATCGCAGTAATACAGTTGCGAAAAATTGACTCTCACAAGATACTTTAATTTATTAGAAGTTCTCGTGCGATCCCTTTAGGAGTGGTAGGTGGAAGGGAGGGGGTGCATTTTTACTGTATGTAAGTTAATCTAACATCATAAATATACCAATAAAGAAACCTAGAAGAATTCAACACCAAAAAGAATTTTTCGTTTAGGTATCCTACAACTAACTGGAATGAAATATTTAAATGTGAATGAATTTTATAATGCAAAAAAAATTGTATGAAATTAAAATTTCGATTAAACTTTTACTAAAATAAATATTATTTATTGTTTAGATGAAATGAATTAAAATATAAAAGGTATTCATTCACTCCTAAAAAGAATATATTGTGAAAGTTGGGTTTAAACGTTCATACATAACTATATCTGTAAGTATATGTATAACATGTAGCCTCATCACAAAGCACGATTGGAATCACATCTCCCTATTGTTCTTGTACACATCAACACAAATACATACGTAAATTTTATGTTACTCTTCATATAAAAGAGAGCGGCAACAATGTTAGTACTGTAGGTTATTTTAGATTTTCCATAGTTTTTGTAATTTAATTGAGGTCTACATAATAAATTTAGAATTAAATATGAAAAAAAAAAATTGATGATTTTAAATTTTTCTTTTATTATTGCAAATCTATCTCTAATAATTTTGTGATTTCTGTTCTGTTTTTTTTTATTTACTATGCGTATGACTATTTTAGAAAAAAGCTTCCAACATAAAATTGGGTTACTATAATTAAGGGAACGCAATAGAAATTATGTTGAAAATTTATTAATACTAATAATTGCAATAATTTCCATAAAAAGGGTTTTCATTTGTTTGGGTAACAGACTGATTAGTTTTGGTTGAATTAATTTAGATATTTTGGACATTTGAATTTGAGTGAAAGGGAAACTTTGCTTAACATTTTTTGCTTTTATTTTACTCATTTTTTAATAATAATAATTATTGTTTGATTATCATAATTATTTTTTATATAGGTTAGATATATTAAAATTTTAGAAAAAAGTATAATGGCCTCGAAATTATTATTATAAAAATCAGATCGTATATAGTCCGAAAATGTTATGAATGGATTGTGGAATCGTTAAAAATTTGATGGGTTTTTACGAAGGTTAGCGAAGTTTCTTGTTATATTTACCGTAATTTTGACATGATAGAAAAATTATTAAAGTTTTCACGGTATATTGACGATATTGTAATATTTTAAGAGTTGAAAATGTTTTTTTAATTGAAATTTCATTTCCAATATGAGCTTGAATTAACAATGATAAAAAGTTAAGACATTGTCATACTGCGAACAAGAAAAAATGCTGATAAAGCTCACATATTTTTACAATAATGAATTGCTACCAGAATTAGATTTCACTAACAATTGTATTATATTTTTCAATATAGTTTCCCACATTATTTGGGAATAATATTTGCTACATTATTTTCTGCTTCGTCATTGAACGTTTAAAAGAATTTAAGGAATAATTTACAAATTATAGAAAATTATAAATTAAAAAAATTACAAAAATTATTTAAATTTGAAAAATTAACATAATTACTTTATTATAAAAAAATTTGCACCTTCATTAAAAAATTATTACTATTCTATATCTAATTATTATTATTAGCTGAATTAAATGTAATCCGTACCGTGGATACTTTGACATTTTTTTTTTGAATTTTCTATAGTTCAATGGTATTAATACTAAATAATGAATCTAATATATAGTTAATTACGAATTATAACAGAACTGGGGATTAATAAGATAATCAGTTAGAGAGCGGAGGAGACAATCTCAATGCTGCCTTCCAGTACTATGCCAGTCGAAGGCCCATTGGTATTCTTCCACAACACACCTCTCCCATCACCCTTATGTCTAAGCCTCCTAAATATCTTTCTTAATAAACAGTGTCCCATAAAAATTCCAATACAATACATCGCTCTGTACTAAACCCCCCTGCTGAAACCTAGCTGTTCTCTTGTTCTTCTACATTTCGCCTTCGGTCACGGAACTCTTTCAATTGCACAAATTTGCTTACCATCCCAAAGCAAGTTGCCCGCTTTCTACTTTGCTTATCTATAATGCTCTTCAACTCTCCCAAGGGTGGAAGAACCGACCAGTCCATTGCGGTAGTGTCTTAGAACCATCAGGGTAAATAGAGAAGCTAACTGCCTATTGCGGGAGGGAAGCCTCCTTCCCGATTCTTTCATTCAATTCTAATAAAAAACCATACATAAATTCGCATTTGATACCTTAACCAAAAATCAAATGACACCCATCTGCATCAGCAAACTTAAATATATGATGGCAACATTAAACTTCTTAAATCTTCAATTTGTAATTTTGATTTTCGTATATACATATATACACATTATGAGGAGAATATAATTTTATAATTTAAAAAAAATTCAATATTTTTAATAATTTCTTAAAACTTTTTAATTAAATTTTTCCTACAAAAAAAAAAGCCTATTTGTATTTATAGAACAAATAAGAGGCAACAATATAACTTTTGTTATACTTAAATAAAGAGTATAACTTTATAAATTTTATCGTTTTAACTGTTGCTATTCTCTCTTTCTTATATATTTTTCTCTAATTCTGTCAATATAAATAAAGTAAAAGGGAAGCTAAGCCATTTAATTTCATTTGCTCTTTTAATCTCATTGAAAGAAGGAAGAATCAGAAGATAGGTAACAAAACAAAATTTTGTTTTTCTCTTTTTTTTTTCTTCATTTCAATGTAAAAGAAGTAAAAAAAAAGAAAATCTGAGAATTATTCTGTCTTCTTTCATTTTATTCTTTAATACTTGAATAGTATATTAAAAACCGCAAAATGAAATATCCACAAAAACCATAATTCCATTTCATTTCATATTATTAAAAAGAAAAGGAAAAAAAAATGTCCAGAATCCTCAACCACCATTGCACCTACAATTTCTTTAACTATTATAAAAAGCACATAACTACAGTAAACAAAATAAAAGAAAAAACCCCATCACCTACCAAAGATCACCTGAATAAATGTCGGATACCTATATATAGGTAAAAAAGGAAAGAAAGAAAACTGAGGCCTACAAGAATTATAATATACAACAATGAATGAAGTTTATACCTTTTTTCCACCTTACAGCCTCTCTTTTCCCCTCTGTTCGGGAATTTTTAATAGACTGTATAATAAATTTTAACTTAAATTTTGTAGGCATAAAAGTAAAATGTGTTTGTATACAAATGAACTCCTTGTACATAGAACGTTTCAAATTACAATATGTATAAAAATAACTTTAATATTATACAAGTACAAGTTGAGGACGGTGACTCTTATATTTTGTGTATAAAAGAAAATAATGTTATATACATATATATATATTAAAAAAAACCACTCCTGAAGGTAAATACTTAAATAATGTTGGAATTTATTAAAAAGAAGAAATGAAAAGAAGCAGAAAGAAACCGTTATTATATCCTTGTGTTTCATTTTTTTTTTAATTTTTACAAAAGGACATCATTTTTTTTTCTTTTTGCTTTTGTTATACTTTCTACACATTTTGATGTTGTCGTCATCATATTGTTGTCATTTTTTTTTACTGTTGCCGTTACTATTATTATTATTATTCTTATAATAATGGTGTTGTGTTAAGACTGGCTTTCACTGATTCCACTATTATATTTCACTTTATTGTATTTGTCAGTACAGTACTCATATTGTGTTTTTCTCTTTTTATGTCATTATTGTTGCTTTTTTTCATTTATATGCGTGAATATTCATCAATTCCACCTTCATAACAGTATATGCTATAATAATATGTATATTACTATTCCATTTTAGTAAATTTAATAAACATAGAACGAGAGGAGAACTATAATTCAAATACAGTTTATTTCTGTAATATTTCTGTTGTTTTTCATATATGTATATTATAGTTAAATTATCACTAGTAAAATGTTGAAAAATTTTATGTTAAAAAAAGTTATGAGGGTTATAAGAAATACAGAAGATTATTAAAATGAGATAATTTTTAACTGAATAGGAAATTTTTAATAA